ATAAGTAAATTACTACTATTTTTAGAGGTACTTCTTGGGCTGATGGCCTGAAATAAGAGAATGCCTTTAAGGCAAGGAGCATGTTGTGTCATATCATCATCACAAAGCACAATGGAGATGTTGCCATCCGCCTTTCACAGATGAGAAAAATATGGCTCCAAGAAGGTGAGCCAGCCATCTAGCCCACTGGTGGTGGGAGCAGGAGCTGGGATTCCAAGCCAGCCCCTTTCTCCCACTTTGCCCCCACTAGCTTAGGTGTTATCCAAACCCACCCTGCAGGGAGCCAAGGCACTCCTGACTCAGTCAATGACTAATTTTTTTTTTTTTTTAATGTAAACTCATTTTTGAAATATATATGCAGAAAGTGTACAAATCTCAGGTGAGCAACTTGATGATCTTTACAAACTGAACACGCTGGTATAGCCAGAACTCAAAGCAAGGAGCAGACCAATACCTGCCCTCCAGGAGCTCTCTTATGCCCCCTCCCAGTCACTGCTCCCCCAACGTCACCACTGCCCTCACTTCATCAACCTGTGTTTAAACTCAATAGAGATGGAGTCACACAAAAAGTACTTGTCTTTCATTCAAAATTATGTTTGAGTAATTCATCTGTGTTCTTGCATGTAACTATGGTTCCTTCATTTTCATGGCAGATTAGTATTCGGTATCCATGAAGATATGCCATTTATTTAGACATTCCAGTGTTGGTGGACAGACTTGTCGTTTGCAGTTTGGTGCCTCCATGAGCATTTGTGTGCATGCATTTTGGTGAACACGTGCACACCTAGGAGTAAAACGGCAGGCCATAAGTTCAGCTTTAGGAGACACTTACGGTTTTCCCACATGGTTATGCCAATTTACACGTCCATTTGCAGCACTGTGAGAGTTCCAGTTGCTCCGCATTCTCACCAGTGCTTGTTACCGTCTCATTTTCATTTTAGCTATACTGGTTGGAATATTGCAGAGTCACATTATGGTATTAATTTGCATATCCCCAATGATTCAGGAAGTCAAGCACATTGTCATATATTTATTGGCCGTTTGGATATTCCCTTTTGCAAACAACGATTCCTTTTTAATTTTTTTCTTTAGTCAGAAAATATTTCTGAGAACCCTTCCCATGCTGGAAAATTCTATGTGTCTCTTTCCACCTGGGTGATCATTCCTAAGCCTGGACATATGGCAGCTCTAAGAAGTTGCAAAGCCAAGAGGGGTGACAGAAAGGAGTCAGTGGGATGGCCCCAGCCAGCGCCGGGCGGGCATCCTTGGAGCGCTGGAAGTTCCACAGCTGTGCAAGGGCTTTCTCTGTGCACTGCAGGATTGCCATGCGGTCATCAGAAATGAGGAGAGATGGTCGATATTTCACATTGAGTTCTAAAGACGTGCTCTGAACCTCTGCTCACTATTCTCTCTTCCTTTAGAATTTGGGCTCCAGACTTATTTCAATGACTGCAGAGGAATAAAGATAAAAGAGGCTCTTTCCTTCTCCTCTTCAGCTCCTAAGTAGGCAGGGAGCGCACAGGGAGCTGGGTTTGCTGACAAGGCTATGCATTTTGGACATTGAGGACCCAGTATGTGCCTAGAGCATTAAAGTGGTTAAGAAGCTCTTAAGCTTTGACAACGATTATCAAACTTTAACAGCTCAAAATTTTCCTGATACAAAATGCGAGCCCACCTGACATCAGAGAAGGAACTGCTTGCCTCCCAGCCAGAGCCCACCCAGTTAACAGCCCTCCCCGAGCTCTTCCTCACCAGGGGCGACCTAACAAATGCCTGGATGAGAAAGAGATAGCTAGACGTGGCATTTACTGAACACCTATTATATGCTGGGCACTGTGCTAAGCACTTTCTAACTCATTTAACTCTCACCACAAGCCTCTCATCAGTGGGTTTACAGGAGAGTGCGGAGATGGGACAGAAATGCAGCCATGTAAGAGCAAGTTATTTCAGTAGCTTAAAACAGTTATAGAAGAGATGCTCAAAGCAGCAAGTCCATTCATTTATTCAATAGATGATTTCTGGCCCATCTCCCAGGCTGGAGGCTGTGAGCCCTAAAATGGTTGCGTCAAGGTCATGTCCTTTAGGAAATTCACAGTTTCCTTGTAACCAATTCATTGGTAAATATATGAAACTAAAAATCCCTGCCGAGTTTGTCTTGATTGTAGGAAAAGGGCACTTCTGGCAGCGGTTAGGGGTGAGGTGCTCGGTGCAGTGTGCTCAGGCTGCAGTGTGTCCAGGTGTTCTGCCAACACGCCCTGGAGGAGACCAGCATCTCCTGGGCTCTCACTACATACCGTGCCTCAGGCAAGGCACTGTGCACCTGTCATTTCCTATAATCCTCTCTGCAAACCTGGGAATTGCTGCTCTGCTTTGTAGATAAAGAAACAAGGGCTCAGAGTAACCTTCACAAAGGCACAGAAGTGGCAGAGCTGGAGCTCCAACCAGGGACTCCAAAGTCCTGGAGATCCCAAAACACGTGGAAGTGAGATTGTGGCTGGTGGGGGCCCACACTGGAATGGGTGGGCTGAGAACAGAAAAAGCTTCTTGGTTTCAGGGCAGCCCATTTAGGTGGGTGCATACCTCATGGCAGGACAAGGGGACAGTGCTGAACTGGAAAGTGGTCACAACCAGAGAGTTAGAGTCCGTGTGTGGACTATGAGCCCAGGAGATGAGCCCAGGAGACAGGTGATTATCTCCTACACTTCTCACCTTAAAGCAACTTTCTCTGATTTGTGTGGTGTTTAAAGGAGTCAGCATACAGCTCCAAATACAGGCTTTGGGGGCTGTGTGATTCTGGACAAGCCTGTCCACTTCTCTGAGCCTCAGTTTCCTTTTCTTTAAAGTAGGCCCAGTCACATCTAAATGAGATAATCAACCTCGCATAGCAAAAAGGACAAAACAGATGCTCAGTAAATGTGGTTAAGATATAAGACAAATCCTGGCTTTCGGCTGCCTGGGTTCAACTCTGGGCTTTGCCACTTACAACCTGTGTGTCCTTAGGCAAGTGATTTACCCTCTATGTCTCCATTTTCTTCTTAAAACGGAGATCATAATAGTTCCTACCCCAAGAGGTTGTCGTGATAAGAATTTGATACATGCATTCACATGAGTTTAGCCAAATGCCTGACTTATTCACATAAGTCTTCAGTAAAGAGTAGCTACAATTATATTTCATCCCTCACATTACCTGGTAGATAAGTAGCAATTGCCCATTAAGCAGGACTATTGGTTTTCTTTCTCCCCAACATTCAATGGTATGGCGCAAGCACTGGTATCATAGAAACTAAAAGGTCATGGAAATTTACAGTGGGGAGGCTGGCTTCCAGCCAGATGTCAAAGATGGGAGGATTTGGGGGAGGGCGAGGGGTTTGCAGAGGAATGAATGAGTGGGGGTGGGGGGTGCAAAGCTTGGGTCAGAGCCACACATGGAGGACAGGGAATGGGAAAGTTGGGTTCAGAGGCATTGCTAGGGGAGAGATGGGGACGCCCTGAGGAGACTGTCATGTGTTGGCCTAGGCATGGTAACGTGTGACCATGTGAGTGAAGGGCGAGTGATCTGCCTCCTGGGCCTAGAAAGGAGGGGATGCCCTGGCCTCCCTGGCCACCTGAGGGTTTGTGTAGGATCAAAAGAAGATATAGAGGTGAAAGCGTTCAAAGCCACTGACGCTCCATGCAGATGCACCACCACGTCTCCTCAAGTGAAGCAGCGCTGGACACAACTCATGCATGGCTTCCAACGCAGCAGCCAAGTCCTGCTTTAATTTTCATGGCTCTCCTTATTAACTCTGCAGCTCTAGTAAATGAGAATTCCTATAAAACGCATTCTTGACCACCTTCCCATCCCTTGCGATGTTATTCCTATCACAACTCTGTGTTGGTACTTACCACTTACAGTTTTATTGTATCTTAGCACATTATAGAAAACTTTAAAAATATAACTTGTTCTGTTACCAAAAATAAATAAATAAATAAATAAATAACAGATGCAGTTTTCGGCCTTCAGTATATTCCTGCAAGCTTAGGAAAAACTAGGCCTCTACAAGCCACATGAGACAACATGTGACCAACCGTCATCCTCATTCCTGATGCCGCCGAGCCGCACCATTCCTCTCCCTCCAGACCTTCCCGCCCGTCGTGCTTTATGCCTCTACCGATGCTTGTTCTCTCTGCCTAGACCACGTTTCCCAACTCACATTACATAAAACTCCTAGTCATCCTTCAAAACCCCATCCAGGTATCTTCTTTTCGAAGCTTTTAAACATCCCTTCCATATGGGAACTGCCAGATATCTGTCCCTATGCATTTAGGAAATATTGTATATATTACCCTCCATCCCAATTAGGCACTTGTTTAAACTTGCAGACCTCTAGTCTTCCTCCATTTCCAGGGCTGCCAAAGGGTCCAGAAGAGAATTAGAGCCTAAATTAGTGTGTCTGCAATAAAGCCAGTTAGACTCGGTCCTATGTCCAGAGGTTCCTTGGCTTATGGATTTTAAAATATGAATTCTTTCATAACCGAATATTAGAAGGAAACGCATCCCTCTGCTGACCATCAAAGAAGGGTACAGGGGAAGTTTGAGGATTCAAAGGCATTTAAAAGAGCCTCTCCGAACCTAATCTGTCTCTAAAAGGAAGTCCACTTGAGATCTCCCTAGGTCTGCCGTTCTCATTTTTATCAAGACCCGTAGTGAAAAAGAAACATTTTTTATATTGTGACACATTAAAGGCCTACGTCAGAGGTAAAACTTTCATGGGACAATGTTTACCTTTACTGTGGGCATTGCTCTTTATTTTCTCTTTCTTGTTTTTCGTTTTTTGTTTTTTTAATTGCTGGTCACCCACTGCATTGATTTCGCGGTTCTTTAGTCTAATCATTTGCATCAGTTGCAATGC